TTTGGAGATGGAGACATTATGGAGGTAATTAAGGTTAAATAAGATCATAAGGGTGGGGCCCTGATCTGATAGAATTGGTGTCCTTATAGGAAGAGTAAGGTAATTAGGAAGCTGTGCAGGAATCCAGGTGGGTGTACAAAAAATACAGTGAAAGCCTGGGCAGGAGGAGAGAACAGGGAGGCATCTGTTTATGCAGAGCTGGTCTTTGTATCCATGAAGTCATTCCAATTAGCTAATGTGACATGCTGGGGACACACCTAAGTCTATATACCTAGATCCTGTCAAGGCTGATACACATAAGTATCTCTCTCATGGCCTTACAAAGCCTGCCAAACTATATGTGCTTTAATACACTTGATAAGAAAGTCACACTAACTGATACAATAATTGCTTCTCAAGGAAGTCTACAAGAGAACTGTAAGAAAAATTCAGAAAGGCAGCCCTATAAAAGTCAGGTTCAATTCGGGAAAGATCTGGGGCTTCCAGTAGCTGACTTGGGTTTGAATCAAGGCTCTCCCCATTTACAACTGTTAAGACCTTGATCAAGTTACCTCACTGTTCTGAGCCTTAGTCACTAGTAAAACTGACCACATAGACATGCTGCGAAGATCAGATGAAATCCTGAATCTTCATGAGGGCCTCAATGTGCTAAGCATAGAACAGATTCTCCCAGTCAGGGCAGTGCAATCTACTTTTATGTGCTATAATAAATTATAATTGTCAGTTCCATATCCAACTTTCCCACTAGATGATAAGCCACTGGAGGACAGGAATCACGTGTGACCATATTCTTGCCTGGCCCAGAGTAATCCCTCAGGAAATCTCTGTAACATGCTGGAAAGAGTGACTGAATGAAGGGATGGCATCACTACCTCTAACCTGGACAGCACCGAGTACATGGCAAGCTCTTCATATGGAAGAGCTGGCTGACCCCCCTGAGGCTAGCCCCAGGCTGAGGGGCTTTGGTGACAAGGAAGGAGGCAGATAGGCACTCACAATGCGCCAATTCTAAAACTCCAAGAGCTAGAACCCTGCAAACATTATGACCCTGTGGCCCAAATTTATAAATTTAAATTCTGGCTTCAAAAAATTCAAAGGTAACTCCCCACCAAGCCCAATTGTCCCAGAAAGCCAATTTCACCATAGGGGCAGCTTAGGAAACTGTCTTAGGCTCTCTTACCCGATGCCTCCCCCAATAAAAATGACTTCAAGTAAGACAGAGAAGAGTGCTTGGACAGAGGGATGGCTGAGGTCCAGTTGGAAATAAGCTTCAGCATCTGGACACAGTGACTGTACCAGTTGGTGCTCTGTGGAAAAAGCCTGGGCAAAAAGTGATGGTTTTTGCAAAACTTTCTGGAGAGTGTATCAACAAGCACGAGACAATCTTTGATGGGTGTTTGGTGAACTGAAGTAAATCATCCATGGGAATGGGGTATGTGCCCTTCTAAGAGGAAATAAATAGCAGCAGCACAAGCTTGAAATGAGTGAAAAACAAGCCCAAATCTCAGACAGATGAAATTGCAAAGGCTCCAGAGCCAAAAAAGATCCTATCCTATTTTTTTCTTCATCCTGAAGTTAACCAGATGGAGATTTTTTTTTAAAGTACCAATCTATTCATATACTTGGAATGAAGGATTTTGCTTTGTGATGGAAGATCTGTATTTAATTGTAAAAATGAAACAAAATATCTTTTTTCCAAATCTAGAGTTTAGATAAATTTTGTCTCTTTTTTCTTTTTTCCCTCTCTTCTTTCCCCTTCTTTACTTCCCTCTTCTTCTTCTATCTCTTCCCTTCTGCTTTAGATGATATACTTACAACTGCATGTTTATAATATATTCTGGACAATGTAATAACGGAGCAGCCACTTTCAGACATAGCTTATGAGAGAATATGTACATATGAAACACAGAATAAAAGCAATGTAACTTCCTCTTATGGTGTTCTGTATGATGACAATAGGCTGTAAAACCGGTGATAAACCAGAATAAGTAAATGGAAAGGAAAGGTGAGTACCAACGGAAACAGGTAAAAAGGCCATTGACAGTGCATCAGGAATCTCTCCAGGCTGCGCTTGCTACCCTGAGTTTCAGTTCTTCATGTGTAAAATATGGATAATAACTGTACCTAACTTATAGGGGTATCAGAGGATTAAATAAAATAGGACATGAAAAGCTCTTGGAATTGAGACTGGGACATAAGTCTTCAAAATAAATATTAGGCATTGTGATTATTATGAGTATCATTCAAGGATTAACACGATTTTATATATATATATATATATATATATATATATATATATATATATATATATAAATATATAAATCTTTCCCACAGGAAAATGTACTCAATAAGGGACAATTGTTGTTGTTATTATTACCATCATCATTGTTATTATTTTTAAATCTCTTTATTTTATAGGTGGTTTCTGTCTCTTTGCTTGGCCTCTCTGGACTGATGATTTATTGGACAGTCTGTTTTGTTCTTGATTCAGATTTTGCCCCATTATGCTAACTTCTCGACTTCCTTAGATTTTGCTTTTCGTAACCCATGGGTAAGTCAGTCATACCCCATTCCTATGTCTAATGAAACTCTATACATAGAACTGCCCTAAGTGTAACTCTACATGCAACTTCACTGGTTGATGATGCAAAATCAACTACCTAGATAAAGGCCAGAAAGTCCCATGATTCTTGTCAAAAACCATAGTGGACTATTATGAAGATTTTATTAATGGTCAGAAAAGGGTCATTTTTTAAAATTTAAATTCAGGCTTAGGAAACAGGCATAACGAATTCTTGTCCACCAAGATACGTCATAATGTTTGGGCAAAGATGGCTTATATCCATAGCAACAGAGCCAACGCTGAGTCAAATACTGGTAAAAGCATTTCTAGACTGACACAGACGGTCAATTAGTAAACTAACGCTCTGAAAACCTGTTGATGGACAGCTTCATGGACAATGCATCCTGCACAAAGAGTTAGTTTACTGGATTGTTATCCTTGTTAAAAAAGACTCTGGGTTGTGTCTGTTATGACTTCTGGTTCTCCTAAAGGTAATTATACCATGATGTGGGCTTGAAAAGGGCTATGCTTCAGTAATGGGTTTTCTATGTGTCATAGAAAGAGAGTGGATATTTAAGTGGAAAGTTGTGTAAATACATAACACTAGTTTAAAGAGGAGACTGTAAAGTTTCAATCCCACTGTACCTTAGGCATAGAGTGACGTCTTTTTCTTGACTTTTCTAGAAAAGTCTAATTGGTTATTAAGACCTATCAGACGTTATTTAATGTATACTCACTGTGCTTCCCTACTAGACGATGAGCTCCTTAAAACCAGGGACTAATGCGGGGACTAATTCAGGTATCTCTATAGCCTGGCACAAGAGTGAAGGCACAAAACATGCTCTTTGAATCCAGCCACCCACCTATGCGTGCATCAACTTTGAGAGAGAACTTTGAGGCAGCTAAGAATAAAAGAGAAACACATGAAGAAATGGAAAATTAATGGTTATTTGTATCCATATCCAGCTTGAGGTCAGATCACTTTTGATTGGCTGGACATTTAGAAAAGCTGGTAGGGGAGCAGACCATAAACAGATGGTTTCAGTACAGCATAGTGAATGTGAGACTGAGTAACTGAGCCTGGGTCTTACTGTCCCTTGCTTTCCACATTTAATCCTTCCAAGGTCGGCTGATCTCTTGACCTCAATTCTCAGTCATTATTGCCACTGTCCATTATTGCCAAAGTCCTCATGGCTTTTTGTCTGTGGACTAACCTATTAAAGCTGGTCTCTCTTCACCCAGCCGTGCACCCTCAGGCCTTCTTCCTGACGGCTGCTAGCCAGTTTTTATAACAGAGATCTGACAACACCCATCACTATTCCAATCTTTCACCTACTCTCCGTGGTCTACTACCTGAAGTTCAGCTCCTTAGCATGCTTTACAGGGACTTCTGTTTGGTCCCTGCCCAGCTCTCTAACTTTTATTGTAAGTCATTCTTCTAAGAACAGTTTATGCCACAACTGAAATTCTGCAATTACCCTCAAATATGCCTTGCTATTTTTCACTCCCATGTCTTTGTTCCTATGCAAGTTCTCATACCTAGAAGAATATCCCTACCTTTCTGTGTCTGGTTGGTCCCTATTTATCATTAAGGTGCAGTACAAATGCTTTCTCCCCTGAAAAGAATTCCTTAATCTAGCTTTGCGCGGACTCTGTGCCTTGTACCTCTGGTATAGTACTCATCTCATTTTTATAGATCTTCTGTCTTCCCTATGAGATGACCCCATGAATTCAACACATTTTCTCCAAGCACCTTCTACGAACCAGGCACTGAGCTAAATACAAAGAGGAGTATGATATAACCCATGCCCTTAAAGAGTGCGTAGATTTCTGGAAAAGACAGATTATCTCAGAATGTGCTAAGAACTGGAGTTACATCTTAAAGATCAAGTAAAACTAGCAAGTGATAAAGAACTCTCCGAGTAGGGAAAGAAGCATATACAAAGGCACAGAGGAGCAGAATAACAGGAGCCATGGGGAAGCTGTGAGTAGGGCAATCTGGCCTTCGTGACAAGTACATGGGTGAGACTGGAGGGGACAGACCACAAAGGGAATGATGTGCCCTGAAAACTATCTGAGCTATGTCCCAAGGGCTACAGGGAACCACTGAAGGATTCTGGCTGGAGATTAACATAGTCCTTTTTACCAAGTAGAACATTACATTACTCCTGTTGCCGTGAGAAAAATGGGTTGTTCTGTGAAAGAAAGATAGGTGAGAAGATGGGTTAGTCATCAATGCCTGGATCAACATTTATTCCTTTGGCAAACACGGGCTACATATGCTCCATATGTGAGACTTTATGCTAAGAGAAAGTTAATTCTTCTGATGTAGGAGTCTGCAAATCTTCCAGATCCTGGGTATACGGGGAATGTGACAAAATGGACTAGTCAAGGGTGTAAAAACATTAAAGACCATATGAAGAAAGTGTCAACTTACCAATTTTCCAGTAACACTCTGGCCACCTTCATTCAGCCAGAACCCAGGGACCATGGCTGAGAAATAAGGGCCCCAGACTCCTGGTACAAAGATCGGGTTTTTGCTGATCTGGAAAGAAAGGGGCAAAGTATGTGAAAATATTGTCCCTCAAGGCTAGAAGGAGCCTTATCCTCCTCCCATGTGATGTTTCTATGACCACGGAATTCAGCTTCTTATTAAATACCTTTGATGGTGGGGAAGTTAGTCCTGACAAAGGACGGGCCTGGCTTCACCTCTGGAAACCTTTCTGATAAACTCATTCAGGCGTCAAGGTAGAAAAAAAGAGATCATTTTGGAAAGAAACTGATGTGACAGTTCCTGGCCAACTCCCTCTCTGTGGTAGACTGATTGTAATAATGGTCCCCATTTCCTAGCCCTCCCTGCTTCCACCCACTGTGCAATATGACTTTGCAGTGCCTCTTGTTGAGAGGTGGGGTTCCCAGCCCTTGAGTCTGGGTCAAACTTGTGACTTGGTTTGGCCAACAGAATGAGGCGGAAGTGACACTGTGCACCGGTTTTCCAGGTTTAGGCCTCGACAACTGTGTGCTTCTGCTCTTCCTTCTCTCCCTCTGCCACAAGAACATGCCCCAGCGAGACTGCTGGATGGATATGCAGCAAGCTGAGTCAGCTCAGTTGTCACACGTGATGTTTCAGATACGTGAGAGGGCCCAAACAGGATCAGCAAATCCTCGCAGTCCTCCAGCAACTGGTGAGCCCGAATCACCAGCATCACCCAGCCAATCGATAGACTTGTGAACAAAAATACATGTCCTTTTGTATATCGCTAGGATTTTATGTTTGTTTCTAACCTAGCATTTTAATGGCACGAAATAACTGATATATCCCCCTCCTTCTACAAACACTTATTAGACACCTAATAGCATACCATTTCTCTCAACTGGGTGCTGAGGACACAGAGATGAATCAGAAAGAGTTCTTGTCTTAAGAAGCTCCTCATCTCAGGGTAGATGGATAAGTAAATAGTCAAATAGAAAACAGTGTGGTCCATGGGATGGTAAAGACAAAACATAGGATACTGTGGAGGGGCACAGTGGGTGAGGAATGAAATGGTCCAGAGATGGCTTCTGAGAGAATGGGACATAAGCTTAGACTAGTAAGATTTAGCCAGATGAATTAGAACAGGCAGTCCATGTCAAGGGAATAGCTTGAACAAAGACATGCAGGTGAGAGAGATGCTCTCATTATTCAAGATACGGCAACGTCTTTTTTTGGTAGCAGACCATGGAAGCCCATTAGGTGTTAGGAAAGGACATCAAGAGATGGACCGGGACAGGCAGGGATGGACCACGTGTTCACTCACCTGGAATGGCACGAGCTTCTCATCCACCCAGCAGGGATGAATGCTGAAGTGATATTATGGTTGTGGAAGGGTGTATTAAAAGGTAGGGAGGAAAAAGGAGTTAGGCACACTGGGTCTACTCCTGCATGTCTTGAGGCTGGGCAGAGAATCTATTCATTCATTTATTCTACAAATATTTATTCAGCCCTTACTACGCCAGACCCTGGGGATATAGAAGTGAACTGAATATAGCCATAATTTCTGCCCTCATAAAGTTTATAGTGCAGCACTTCTTTAAATGTCTGAGCTCTAACTATTCTGGTTCTCTTTTCACTAAATGAGTGATTCCTCAAATCAGCAAGAATTCCACCCTCCAAAGAGGAAGGGGGTGAGGGAAGGCAGGAGACTATACAATATTATCAACTTTAAACTTTGCCAAATAAAGGTAATTTATAAAAGGGTAAATTTAACACCTAAAGGAAAAAGAATAATCTCAGGGGGAAAAAAAGGTTTGTTTGTTTGTTTGTTTGTTTTCCTGCAAGAAAAGACAGTTTAGCTTTCATTGACATATTCACTCATTTCTTTATGGGTTCAACAGATGTTTCCTGAGCTCCTACTGTGATCCAGGCACTGAAAGCAAATGTAAACAAAAGAGCATAGTCTCCGCCTTCACGGAGCTGTTCTCTTCAGAGGGAGGCAGACTAGGGAGACCAATGATTCAGGTTTGGCCAGGATTCTCCTAGTTTTAACACCAGAAGTCCTATGTCCTGGAAAACTCTCAGTACTAGGCAAAAGGGACAACTGGTCACCCTAAGATGGATATCACACAAATGTATAAATACAAACTGTGATAAATAAATGAAAGAATATCAAAAGGTATTATAAGAGCTCATAAGTGAGGGACCTAATATAGTCTAGGGGTCAGATAAGGCTTTTCTGAAGAAGTGATATTTGAATTAAGATGAAAACATACATAGAAATTATTCAGGTGTGAGTATATGTATATCTGTCTGTATTTGTATATATATGTGTGTGTGTGTTTGTGTTGATATACGATACAGAGAGCGTTCCAGACAGAAGAAGCACACACTAAATGGTCTTCATTTTTGTCACTCTGTCTTTGCCAGTGGAAATTTTATCACATGCCAACTCTAGAAACTACTGCCCTATATTGCATGCCCCAGCTGCTCTGGGGCAAATAAGACAGCCCATGCCAAGCACTTGGGATCCAGGGTTTGGACAGGTGGATGGATACCCACCAAAGTCAAGCCATCTCTTTTCATGCCCTGCACCCCTTCTCTTCCAGAACTCTTCCAGCACCATTAGACAGATTAGTTTCAGAGAGGTTGCACGTTGTCCACAGTCACACAGGTAGTAAATGGTCGAGGTGGGACTTGAACTCAGGTAGATACTGGCCTCAAACCCCAGGATATGCTTTTTTAAAAACAAACAAACAAACAAAACTTGTATACATAAATTGCTTAGGAGAGCTTTGCATCACCTCCCCCTACCCAAACCCCAAACCCCACGATTTAAAGATGTTCCTGCATCAGCTTTTGCAGAACTCCATTGGCAGACTGGGGCTCTGCTGCTCAGAAATGGCAGGTGAAGGCTCTGCCTGGCTCTGTCCAGAAATTTCTGAGTTGACTCCTGCTTGTGCTCACTCATTTGGAATGGCACATGCTTCTCATCAGATATCATGACTGAAGCAAGGAAACAAGGGCACAGAAATATGTTCCCCAGAGCACCTCCAATCACTCCCAAGCTCTGGGAGAAAACAAGTAATAGTTTGTTTTGACAGGGAGAGAGAGTGAGCACATTCATGTATTTATGTGTGCTTTAATCCTTTGCAATAAGCCTAAATACTTAAAAATATTTTTTTGTGAAAGCTCTTTCCATGCTGATGGCTATCCTGGCCTGAAGGCTGCTCTGTGATCCAAAAGGAAGGAGCACATTTTACTCCACTAATGACAGGTGTCCGTACAGGACACTGACTTTCCAGCAATAATGTGCCGTTGGCAACAACAGCAGCTACGATTGACTGGGTACTTACTAAAGGCCATATTCCAAGCACACTGCAGGAGTTAAATCACTTAATCTTCACAACGACCCTAAAGGGAAGAGTCTATCATTATTCCTATTGTACAGATGTGTAAACTGAAGCAGAGACTTAAATAGCATGCCCTAGGTTATAAAAATACAAAGCAGCCAGGCTCTCTATAGGTTCTGTATTTGTCTCTGCCAAAGTATGCCCTTGATTTTAGGCTACCATTGATTCTTTGAGTCCTTCATTTACTTTTCAAGGGCAGAAAGCAAGGGTTATTAGAGCCAACGTAGACTCACTCAGATTGAACCAACCTCCTAGCCTTGATGACAAGTAGGTTAGGGAATCTTCAGGAGCAAAAGGCTTTTGATCAGTTTTCCCCCATACACTTGTGAAGAGCAGAGGAGAAAACAAGGGCTGAGTCAAAGATCTATTTGATTCTATCCTGACTACCATGTTCCAGCCAGGTGACCTTATAAAAGGTAATCTTTCTGAGCCTCAGTTTCCTCAGTTCCAAAATGGGAAGAATGATATAAATGTGGGAGGACTTTTGTGAAAATGAAATAAGCTGTCACATATAAACAGCTTATTGTATGTTAAATACCAAGTAAACATTAGTTCTCCTTGAAATGAGGCTTGCATGATGGGATAGTCAGGTGACTGGGATGAATGGCCACAGCCAAAAGTAACTGCAACCATTAAGCAGGTCTCTAGAGTCATTCTTCATTTTATTTAGTCAATGGTCTTAATAATGAAGTAGAAGATGACAATACAGAAGCAAAGTTTATATTTTCAGGTGGTATAAACTTGGAAGGACTACTTATCGTGACCCGTGTCCAAAACAAGATTCAAACTTACTTTAAGAACTAGGACATCAAGCAAAATACAGCAAGAAAGCAGTTAACATTTATTTGATCACACAGTTAAAATTCTGCACAGAAAAGGTGCCGGTAATATTCTCTTCCATAATATCCTTTTTCATGGGTGGTGGTACATGAGTATTCAATTTAGTATTGTTTAAAGTGTATGTAGACCTTTGACACATTCTTTAATTATGTGTGATATGAATAAAGTTATAAAAACCTGCAATAAAACAAAACATTTGGGACTTCCCTGGTGGTCCAGTGATAAAGAATCTGCCTTCCATGCAGGGGATGCAGGCTTGATCTCTGGTTGGGGAACTAAGATCCCACATGCCACGGGGCAACTAAGCCTGTGCGCCACAGCTACTGAGCTTGCGTACCTCAACTAGAGAGCCCACGTGCCCTGGAGCCCATGCGCCACAACTAGAGAAAAGAAAACCCGCGTGCCACAACTAGAGAGAAGTCCACAGGCTGCAAGGAAGAGCCCACACGTCACAACGAAAGACCCCGCGTGCCGCAATGAAAGATCCTGCATGCGGCAACTAAGACACGATGCAGCCAAAAATAAATAAATAAATAATTAAAAAAACAAAATAAAAACAAAACATTTGGTTGCACACTATATGCTAGGCACTGAGATCAGCAACAAGGTTATAAAAATAATAAGGCAAAATAACAACAACAATAATAATAGGAGAAGAAGAGAGACGAGGAAGGAGGGAGGAGGAGGGAGGGGGAAGAGGAAGGAGGAGCTGGAGGAGAAGAATTAACAATAAGGCATGGCCCTCCTCCTCAAGGAGCTCCTAGTCAGGCTGGGCAGACAGAAGTGGAAATAGAAAAATTACAACGAAACATGCCAAGT